TCTGTCTGTCTGTCTGTCTGTCTGTCTGTCTGTCTGTCTGTCTGTCTGTCTGTCTATCTATCTAGCTGTCTGTCTGTGTTTTAAAACCCTTCCCACACTCTTGCAATATTCTAAATAATATTTCTAAACTCTAAACGCTCTAAAAGTGAACAGCATGTCATGATTTTAGCTCTCTGCCACCTGCATTCATCCACCTGCAAGTGTTCTTGGCCACGCCCACTTCCTGGCTCTGCGTGGAGAAACAGCTGATCAGCTTTAGCAGGAAGCTTATCTTGCAGTAAGAGCTGCACAAAGGCAGGAAGACGCTTTTGCTGCAGCTCTGGGCTGCACAAAGATGTAGCAGGTGCTAAATAATTTTAAATAATTTATTTTAAATCAAAATTCCATGCCGATCGTGTGGCTCATCCATCAATCAGCCTTAACTGTGCGTCATACGATCTTATGTTGAAAAGCCGCGACAGAGCGAATCCACGATAAACAAACCGCGAAGTAGCGAGGGACTACTGTGATTTTGAGCTCTTTCACAGTTTCTAGTAGAAATGTTGTGCCGCTCACCGACCAGTTTTGCTTCCCCGACATATTAGCCTGTAGCCAGGTGGAAATACGTGAGGTTGACATACGTCGCACATGCGCCATCAGGTCAGTTTTACACAGTCGGAATAAAATGATCAGATTAAGTGTTTACATGCACACCGTTCAGATTATGAATCGGCATAAACCACCCATCTCATTCGGATTACAGATTCATTCGGATCGAGCTGAATCAATAAAAAATAATCTGAACGGGGCGTTTACACGACACACTTTTATTCTGAATGGCCGTTTAGTCCAATGTTCATGTCAACATAGCTAATGTTCAGTCAGGTCAACTGGACAGTTTCTTTTGGTTTTTATTTAGAGATGTTTCGCCCTTCATCCGAAGGGCTTCTTCAATCTGAGGAATCACAAACAAACCGCTTCCCCACCAAGCAGTACACTCCTACAGTGGACCAACCAGTTTGCTGCTGATAAGATGGTTTCTGGGGGACGTACTTTTGTTAAACTTTTTCTTAAAGTCTGGTTATTAATGTTTTTAGGGCCGTTTTTACCAAAACTGTCTCTATGAAATGCTTTAAAGTCCACCAGAGGCTCAGAAATGGGTTAGGGGTTAAAGCCAAGATGAGCTCTTGGATTAGCACATTCCAATGTGAGGAGGAGCAACAGTTTGGTGTACTTTACAAGTATTTTTTAAAGATTCACAATCAAAACTGGGATGCACGCAGCTCTAGCAGCTGAAAACTTGACATTTGAGAACAGACTGAAGTGACCCATCCGTGACATCGCTCTGTCACGCCCACGCAATAACTGCAACAAGAGAAACGATGCAGAGCCATGTCAACATGGCGCATGTTCAAGCTCTGGCACGTATTCCCATAGAATCAGAATTCAGCAAGCAAACCAGCAATGGACAAAAGACATAATCTGACATCGTACTGGAACAGAAACATTCCTTTCCTGTAACAGCCTGGTCTGGCGCACCGAAAATAATCCACCTAAGGCAGGAATTCCTTCAGAGCCACGAGGTAAAACGTCACGCAGCGGAACAGATTAGGCAACAAGCTCTTAAGCAGCACTCAAACACAGGTTGTGTTAAATCCTACCCGTGCAGTTGTTGCAGACTGCTGGACCAGGAGTGACGCTGGCTTGTCAAATTGCCAAACAGAATTTCCAACGTTATATTTAGAAACTATTGTAATATATAATATAGTTTCTATTTTAATCCACATGAGGATCTTCTGTGCTAATCCTCCACCTGTAGGTCTTGCCTGCATGAGGTGCCTCTAACCTTCAAGTAGTCTTTAATGAAGCTTGCCGCCTTCACTCCAGAATTCATGTTGAAGCAGATGTCCACTTTCACCTCCGTCTCTTGGTCCGTCAGTTTGATGATTGGCACCTGAAAGAAAACAACAAACGCTTGTTAATCCCATGAGGGAAATCTTTGTTGCCACAGCAGCACAAAGAGTAAGGAAGAGGACAATACACGTCAACAGTAAATGCTATTCTTTTAAAATGATGCAACATAAAAATATAGGTTGGTAACTAAAATTGGTCTCTAAAAATGTAGGACCATAGTAGTCTTTAAAACAGGAACAGTAAAAAGAGGCAAGAATAATTATTTTGGGGGAGGGGGGCACCTGCCTCTGTGGGGTGTTTATCCATGATGGAGAACAGTCTGTTCAGTGACCTCCTTGTGTTCTTCTTAATGATTCTAACCAGCCTTACTGATGGGTTTGCTGAGCTTGGGGGGGCATCTCTGACACTGATGCTGCACCTCCAGCAGACCACAGAACAGTAAACAGCACTTTACACCCCAAACTGATGAAAAAATATAACTCCAGTTGCTGCACACGCTAAAGGAGCTTTTAGTTTCCTTAGAAAAGGCAACTGTAGTCTGGTGTTGCTTATCACCACAGACCCACTTGGATAACCCCCCCCCCCCCCCCCAGCTCTACATACTGAGGCTTATCTGTCAGATAATCAGTAACCCAGGAGACAGTGGAGGAACTGACGCACATACCGAGCACACTATATACTCACTTAGCAAAGAAAGTGGAATGTTACTCAAGGCACCGGAGAAAAACTGAAGTTTAGAACGAGCACCACAGTTGGCACATTTAACACCCATCATCAAACTACAGCGGCCTATAGCAATGGCCCGGACAAGAAAAGATCGTGTATAACCATTAGGGCTGTTGTAAACAAATATTTTAGTAATCGAGTATAGATTATTCTGGCGAGTAATCGAAAACGACATTTGTCAGGTTCTGCAGTAACTACCGTACTCGTCTTATGAGTGATACAAATACAGCTCCAAAAGAACATTAAATAAACAAGCAATTTAATTCCTCTTTTTCAAAATATTTTATTGCTTAAGTTGAATTATTTTTAAACATCGCATACAAATCTAAATGCTGTAAAATAATTTTTATGGATTGGAAAACGGAACGGAATTTACAAAGTAGGATCTGGGAGGAAGGATATCATTTGGATTGAAGGTGGAGATGATCTTCTGGATCCTCCATCTTCCACCACGGACACGTCTGTGATGATCAGATTATAAATGCTGTTTGTGAACTCAGCTGCTGCACAAACAACATCCTGGAGCCGTTTGTACGAAGCTGTCCAACGTACGACTCTACTGGAAAGAAGAAGAAGAAAACTATTATTTGTTTGTTTGTTATGCCTTAATAAGTTTTCAAGTGTACGTCACTGGATATTATAAAATTATGTAATATTGTTAAGTAATCTACACTTTCTGATGATCTGCTGCAATCAAAGTAACATTAGTGTCAGTTGTATTTGATTTATGCTTTTTATTTATGTGTGAGGTTTGAGGATGATTTAATTAAAACTCTGTCACTGAATTATTTTTAACCATCACATAGAAATCTAAATGCTATAAATTTTTATGGATTGGAAAACTGAATCTTTATGTTAGAAACTGAGTAAGATAGATAATGTACAGTTTTGAGTTTGTACATTGAGTTCTGCAGACTGTTATTATTTAGTCTTGATTGCGGAGCTATAAACAAATAGGACAGTAGTAATAAATGATGATTAATCACAGTTTTTAGTCATAAACAGCAGCAAGAAGGTAAAAAAATCCTACTAACTCGTGTAAATACAGTTACACTTGAAATATTCACCCTAAATATCTCATTTGAGTCAGGATGGAAGTACAACAATAAATAAATGTATCAGTCTGTTGCTGCTTTTATCTTTAACAAACTTGCATCAAGTCCTGCAGTTTTTGTTCCTCACACAACGTTCAGACCCCGACAGGTAGCCACTGTGATTAGTCAGTAGATTTAGCGTTAGCAAAAATAGGTCTCATTTTACATTTATAACATGACAGATTATCACATTTAGGTGAACGTAAAGAGAACATGATACCTGTTGCAGCTGCGGACGAGTTTGATGCTACAGCGGGTGTTTTCTCTTCAGACGCTGCAACATGGACGACGTGCTGTTGTGGTTACTCCAGTTCTGCTTTGCAGTGGCTGCATTTCACCGTGTTGTCTTCTCTCTTTAGCCTAACATGGTCCCAACTTTCGACAGTTTTCGGGGCTCTTCTTCTACGCAGTCTCCGTTCCCTCCATTGCTACAAACTTAGCACATACGTGTTAGCGGAAGCGCTAGCGTTGTTGTGTAACACACAAACCTTCCGGCTAGACCACAGTGCTCTGAATAGTTTAACGAAGCTTCGAGGCAGATGAATTTGCGTGGAGCTGGGGTGATTAAAAGATTATGTGACACGCTGTCTAGTGTTGGTACAAACGTGTTTCAAGTTTTGTTAAATTACCTTGTGAGGATCAAAGGGTATGGCCCGGACAAGTAAAGACCTTGTTTTACCTTTGACCTTGATTTATGACCTTGACTTTGACGCTGGGGTGATGAAAAGTGTACACGCCACTCCGTCTAGTGATGATGCATGTGTACAGATGTTATGAACAGGACTGGAGACAGTTTAACGTTCATACGTATGGACGGACACTCTGCCATAATACGTCCACCTTCGATGGACGTATACAAATGTTTCCCACGGTGCCATCGCTGACATCCAGGTGAAAGTGAGCATGATGCAGAAGATAAATGACAGTAGGGCTGCAACAACGAATCGATATAATCGATAAAAATCGATGATTAAAAGCGTTGGCAACAAATTTCGTTATCGATTCGTTGTGTCGCGCGATTATGCATCTTTCACGGCGCTGCAGAGCCGTTTCGTTTTGTTCACAGGCAGTTCATTGTCAATACTGACTGACTGAATAAAGTTTGAAAAAAAAAAAACTGCAGCGCGAGTTGAACAGAGCGAGGGGGGAGGAGGAAGCAGAGCAGAGTGTTTTCAAAGGAAATTAAGTAAATTTTACAAATGACCAACGCAGCGAAAACTGTTCGACCCAAGTCCTCCAAAGAGTGGGAGAACTTCACAAAGATAAAAAATGAGAAGCATGCCGCTTTGAAAATCACCGACACGACACGAGAGAACCACGGAGATAAACGTAAACATGTCGGAGTCACGAGCTGCAGCAGATACAACGTGTTTCACTCCCAACTCGTGTTGCAGGTGAGTCTCTACAATTTAACACATTGTTCTGTTTCAAGAGAGAAAACGTAACGTCAGTCTCTCTGGTAGATGAAGCTGTTTGTTTGTTTGTTTGTTTATCTGATTAATGGCGGTGATAGAGAACGTGTGTGTTACTTTTTATTTAATTTAATTGGTACAAGCAGTGTTTAAATGTGATTTATAAATAAATCTAACACAAAGATAATAATTTAATGATTAAGCTTCAACTTTGACTTTGCTGGCAAAGTCTGAAGACACTGCATGTATGGCAGGATGAATTGCATTTAAACAGGAATTAAAGTAATTTATTACATCTACTCAAATGTGTGGAATTAAGTAATTTATGTGTGTGTGTGTGTTTAATTGCTCTTTTAGCTACTTTTGCCTGAACCTAACACTGTAAGTGAAACAAGGCATTTCTTGAGTTGCTGTAAATTATGTTATAATACATATTTACTGTATCATTCCAGAAAACAACAACACTTCATGATGGACAGACATCATGGACACCACAGCAGCAGCTGTCTTCACTGAAACATCCTTAAATGATCGTCACTAACATGAGGCCTCTGTCCATGGTTGAAGACGAAAGCTTCACTACAATAATCCACACTTTTAATCCAGGTTACAATAATCCACACTTTTAATCCAGGTTACACTCTTCCTCAAGGACACATGGGATTTACCTGTATAAATAAAGGTTGATTGATTCCTCAAGGACACATTTTACAAAGTAGCTACATACTGTGCAGGTATAAAGATACATTTCTACATATTTTTGTGTACATTTATTTTTTTAAGCTATTTGACTAACTTTTATTTTTTTATTATTCAATATTTTACTAACAGAATAGTAAAATAGCAACCTGTTTTTAGTGTGAATTGCTATGTCAGTCAAATGTTCAATTTTGGAATAAAGGGGTGGAAATTAAAACGTTTGTTTTTTTTGCCGATTCATCGATTAATCGAAAAAATAATCGCCCGATGAATCGATTATTGAAATAATCTAGTCTGTCCATTCGTCTCCTTGCCTGCCTCTTTGTCAGTCAAGGGGAATAGGGTCGCCCCAGCTGAAGCTGATAGGTAATAAGATGTGAAACACAGTGTGTGAACTTGTTGATTGAGGAAGTGTTGTATAGCAGTTCATAAAAACACAATTTAATAAGCCCTTACACCTTTGCAAGTTTTGTATGACTTTTTTTTTTTTTTTAACAAAGCTTGTGATTACCATATTTACAAGCACAAAAAGAACCAACAGTAGCAACATGTAGCACTTCAGGAGCATCCATAGGTTGTTGTACAGGAATTTGCTAATATTTATGCTGAAATAACCGTGCAATGTCAAACTGATAAGACTGTAATGACTGAAATTACAGTTTATATGAATCACTGTGCTGTGGGTTCAATTGATTTAGTCATTGTTAGCCCATCAGTACAATTCAAATAAACCCACTTCAAAAGCAAAACGTTGCCATTTTAAAACAGCTCCAAGAAGCTATCAGGACAACAGGTAAGGTTTGTAAGTTTTTACATAGAAATCCACTTGAATATTTTTCCAACAAACACTTATAAAGATGCTGCACAACTTACATTTAGCACACTGATCTTTAAGATTAGGCTTAAGACTCTCCTTTTTGATAAATCCTATAGTTAGGGTCGGCTTGGGTTTCCTGAGCTATCCCTTAAAGTTATGCTGCTATAGGCTCAGACTGCTGGAGGACAAACTGACCACATGTCCTCACTCTGCTACTGTCTTTACTCGCTCTACTCTACCTGTGTGTATTTGTATTTTTTTTCATCTTGACACGTGTTTTTGTCTTTCTTCCAATAGGAGGTACACCTGCACCTACACCTGGACCTGTCGTTCTGCGTTTGTCTGTTTCTACTTCCTGTTCTCTCAAACCCAGCCAGTCGAAGAAGATGGCCGCTCATCCTGAGCCTGGTTCTGCTGGAGGTTTCCTGCTGTTAAAGGGAGTTTTTTCTTTCCACTGTCTCCTTTGTTCTTACTCAGGATGGGAGACTGCTACGAAGTGAAGATTCAACATGTCTGCTGGCTTCCTTAGATAGAAAACATTTCTACTTGTCTTTTTATGTATGTGAATGCTTTTGTTCAGTGCCCTGAGACGAACTGTGTTGAGATTTGGCGCTATATAAAAAAACTGAATATTCATTTATTTAATTTTGCTTGTCTGAGCGGAGGAAGCAATTTTATCCATGATCAGGTGCAATGGCGGAGCGGCCTTGGTCAACATTGGCCACCACAAGGACCACTCCAAGTACTTGAGGAAACTATACTTTTATAGAATATAAAATCTAGAAAGACTTTTTCCTTTTGGCTGCTCCCTTCTTCACGGGTCACCACAGAGAACTAAGTCACACGAAGACTTGGCAACTGTTTTTACGCCGGATCAATCAATCAAACTTTATTTATAGAGCCCTTTCCAGCAGCCAAAAGGTGCACAAAGTGCTGCACAATACAGAAGTTAAAAACAAACAATTAAGAATAAAAAAATTAGTCAGTTAAAATCAAAAACAATTAAAACATAGCAAGATTGTCAAAGAACTACTAGGTATTAAAAGCCTGCCTGAATAAAAAGGTTTTAAGATTAGATTTAAAATGCTCCATATCAGTGATGGAGCGCAGGTCCTGAGGTAGCTGGTTCCAGAGTCTGGGTGCAACAACCAAAAAGGCCCGGGCACCCCATCGTTTGTAGTTGGACTTTGGGACAGAGAGTAGAAATGTATTAGAAGATCTCAGTGTTCTCCTATATTCACGGACAGCTACAAGATCAGTCACATATAGTGGGGCAAGACCATTGAGAGCTTTAAAAGTGAACAATAAATTTTTTAATTTAATTCTAAAATCGACTGGAAACCAGTGGAGAGAAAATAAAACAGGGGTGATGTGCTCACGTCTGGAGGTGTTGGTTAAAAGTCGAGCTGCAGCATTTTGGACCAACTGAAGGCGTCTAATGGAGGATTGGGAGATTCCTGCATACAGGGAATTGCAGTAGTCGAGCCTTGAAGTTATAAAAGCATGGATGGCCTTTTCCAAGTCAGAACAATTTAAAAAAGGCTTCACTTTGGATAAAAGACGTAACTGATAAAAACAGGCCTTGACTACAGAGGATATTTTTTTATCGAACTTTAAGTCCTTATCAAATGTCCCCCCCCCAAGTTTTTAACTGTGGGTCTGAACTTAGATGTCAGAGCACCAAAGTTACAGGGAGCATCATCACCGAAGAAGATGTCCTTCCTGACACAACCAGACACCGAGCTACCACAGCCTCTGTGTGGAGCAGAGCTGCTATCTAGGGTGCCCGGGGAGCAGATGGTGGGGGTTAAGGACCTTGCTCAGGGGCACAGAGGGGAAAATGAGGGTGGAGGCAGGTGTGAGTGCTTCACCTTTCACACCCACATATTGATGTTGTCGGTCGGGGGAGTCGAACCGACGACCTTCCCATCACAGTCTCGCCTTCTCTACGTCTGCATCGCCACTCCCCAGTATAAACTCTAGAAAGTATAGTTTCCTCAAAAGACCAAACTGGAAGTTGGCTCGCTGCTTATTTTTTAAAATTATGTTCACAACATGAACAGGTGGAGCGCATTCTTTATCCCCCCTACTTGCGCCGCGATGGGGTACAAAATTTGGAGAGAACAAATTGTCAAGACAAAGAAAGCTATACAATAAATCATTGTATGTGAAATAGGTTCTCTTTTTAAAATGCTTAAAAAATAGTTTGGCATTATTTAAGGAACGTTGACACAAAATAAGAACAGCAGCAGTTTTTCAAAAGGACAGAAAAGCAGAGAAATGCAGCGCTGTCGCCTCTACTCACTGTAGCTTTGTCCAACACTTTAATGGAGTCAGGTTCTGCCACATTGTTTTCACGAAGCGCCTGCTCCAGCTCTTGCAGCGGGGGTCGCTCCCAGTTACCAAACACGACTAGGTCGATGTCACTTAGTGTGAGAAAATACAACATTCACACTAAACAAAATGTACCAAAAGTTACAGTAACAGTTTGAATTGTCTCCATTTGCAAACAAGACCATACCTGGTCGGAAGGTACAGCCCTGTGCTGAAGCTGCCAAATATCTGAACCTAGAAGAAAATGGACAGGTTTAAAAACTATGACCAAATATTTTATAGAAACGTTTGAAAATGTAAGATAATCACAGCCTACAAAAAGAAATCTCACTTTGTGTGTCAAGTTGTATTCTTAAAGGGGTAGGTGACATTCTTTTGGACAGCTGTAGAACCTACTGAAATACATACTCCTTGGGCTGATAATGATATCCAACTATCATCAACGAGGCTTTCCTGGGTTCCACTTAAGGGACACACTACACTGCCAAGCTTAATATGCTGCCAACTTAAGTACACAAAGATTTCACAACAAAAAGGCTGTTTTGGGGCTTCAAGTGAAAGCTCTCCAGAGGAAGTAGAATAGAGTTCTTTCCTTTTCCTCCTGTTAAATACGACAAGGCAACAGCACAAGGACAGGCCAGGAATAACAGACTGAAAGGGAAAAGGAGGCTGGAACAAATGACAGGCTCCATCCATTTACCTGACAATGTGCCTTTCAGTGGAAATGGGAAAAGCTGGCAGCCAATAAATCCCCCCCTGCTTGTGCTTTGTGTGATCAAGTAAAAAGCAGAGAATTCTATCAACCCTACATCACTGGACGATTTGCACTATTTCACAAATATAAGGCAGAAACACTTCTGAATACGTCTTTCCTCGTCGTAACTTAATTCAGCCGAACAACGCCTTACATCTGCTTTGGGCCACAGCTCGTTGATGATCCTTTTTATTCGCGTCACCACCTCCTTCCTCATCGCTGCCTCTTCAGGCCGGGGAGACATGAAGTTGTAGAAGTCCACCACCTCTTCGTGGAGTCTGGACAGAGGAGGAGGAGAAGAAAAAAACAGGGTTACTCTCAACACACAGACTAATGAGAAACTCTGAACTGAAAGAATCAAAAGTTAATCATTTCAGTTGTCGACTCTCAGACTATTTCACCATTTTAAAACAAAAACGAAGCCAAAATGGAAAAAACGTGGAAAAAATAAGTCCACCCTAGGCCTGTCTCGATAACAAATTTTGCTGCGCGATTAATTGTCTCAGAAATTATCATGATAAACGATAATATTGTCTGAAATTTGACGATAATTAGTAATTATTGTCAAATTTAATAAGAAATGTTGGTAATTTGTTTTGAATGTAGTACTTTTTTGACCACCAGATGGCAGTATAAGACAGTTTGAACTGAAGGATGGATAGTGAGGGATTGAGCAGCGTGTCTCTTTCAGAAAAATGGGAGGGAGGCCCCTTGACGTGACATGGGCTGTCTCCATTTTTTTTCGGTTCTCAAAATGGCGGACGTTCTGTGTGGTTTGAGCTCTTTAGCATAGCATTTGTCACACAAAGCTTTTAATAAAAGTCAGTAAACAAGTTATCAGTTTCTTTTGCAGAGAAAAACAACTTTTTACACGAAGGCACGGGTTTCAACTGTGAATTTTGGAGCTTGGACAAGACGGAGGCTTTTCCCCAAGATTGGTCTGTTAGCTTAGCTCGTAGCTAAGCTTCTCAGCTTAGCTGATTTTAACGATCAAAAGATGCAATTTTGTACAAGTAAAAATGGATTAAGAAAAGAGAAAGGGAGGGGGTCAGTGAAGAGCACTGGAGTTGAGCCTTTTGTCATCCAGTGTCTTCAGTAGAAAGAGAGAGACGGAAAAACAATAAAGACGATAAATGAAAAGGTTGATAATTTTCATTCATCATGTGATTAATTGATTTACTGTTTATTGCGACAGGCCTAGTCCACCTTGTTGCTTTTATAAAATTTAAGAGGTTCAGTATCAGCCAGGTGATGCTGATCAAATGTATTGATTAACTGATCAACATCAGTGCGACCACCTCCACCATAGCGTCCAAGGGAAAGATGTCGACGCAACTAATTGATTTGTGCACCCGAAAAGTTACAGCATATATTGTGAAAAGGTTGCATCCCTTTCAGATGTGGCATCACCAACAGTTAGGTTAATTAAGCAATAATGATAGAGCTAAGCTAATTAATAATCCACCCTGAGCAAACATCACAGTAACATGTCTGAAGGGACATGGTGCAATCCAACAACCCCACGTACACACCACCTACCAGTGACTACTTATCAAATAAGTTAATCCCATCTTGGTATAAGGTCAAGAAGTCCAATGTAATTTCAGAGCTCAGTGACGTCTGCTCTGTTGCACTCGTGCTGGCTGGAGGGCAAACGTACAAAGCTCAGACCAGTTGTGTTTGGTATTTCTGACAAAGCTGTAGCAATCACTGTAGTTAACGCTGCCAATATGGACGTGGGCATTACTACACGCCTGCAATTCATGAAACTGCTGCTTTGCCCACATGCTTCATCTAGCAGCACGAAGTCTGTACTCCCTAAACTCAGTGAAACAGTGGGTGGCCAAGGTCCGAACCATCGCTGTGTGGATGAAGAGGAAGGTCCGAACCATCGCTGTGTGGATGAAGAGGAAGGTCCGAACCATCACTGTGTGGATGAAGAGGTGCTTGATGGCAAAGGTGGTTCTCCAGGAGAAGCAAGGACTTTTACGTAACACAAAGTTCACTTTATTTAACTGGTGTGCGTAATGACTAACCTATTACCATTTGTGAGTTCTGGGGAGTAGAATTATAGTATTTGACTACTTATTTTAAATACAATTCATGTTTGTCTCCTAAGATAAAAAGAACCTGCTAAATGACTTAAAAAAGGACTGTTCTTGTTTCTATCAGAGCTGCCCCGACACTCACTCATTCTTGAAGTGAGAACACGCTGGGACTCTCTTTACCCAATGCTGGAGAGATTCACAGAGCAGGTGATTGGGGGAGTGGTGGAGCAGAGGTTAGAGAAGGTGGGCCTGTGATCGGAAGGTCAGCAGTTCAACTCCCTGGACCGACGACATCAAAATGTGGGTGGGAAAGGTGAAACACCCACACCTGTCTCCACCCTCATTTGCCCCACTCTGGGCCCTTGAGCAAAACCCTTAACCCCCCCATAAGTTAGGGGTTTTGGTCAGAAAGAAAGAGACTATTTCTAACGCCGTCTGTGTGTTCTGTATTCATTTTCATACAGGCTTGCTCGGCTGACAGGAGGATTTTCAGAGAGCAGCAGACTTCATCAATCTCATGAACGTTCTCTACATGTCCCTACGCTGCGTGTCTTCAGAAATGAGTTCCACATGTGGACAGATGCTGCACATTCTCCAACAGCTTGAGGCACATCCGACTGTGAAAGAGGGAGACACGGTGTTTGTATCCAACCTTAAAAATCAGGTTTGGGCAAACCCATCCCAGTGCTACCAGGTGAGTGACTGAGGCAGGCAGCTGGAAAGAAATTCATGAAGACTAGAAATATCTTTGTGGCTTGATCAAACATTTTAAGAATACGTGTTTTGCAGAATGATGAGATCAGGAACGTTCTCCAAGCGGCCACTGTGTTGGATCCACGCTTTAAACAGAAGATGGATGACGTGTCTGGGAGCAGATCCAGAGAAAGATGATCGAGCGGGTGAAATGTCATTCATGCACATCTGTCCTTTTCTGTTTTTAAAATCTAACATCTAAATGCACGTCATGTTCTTTGTGGTCAACAGAGGAAGACTGTGGAGATGATGGGGTCACCATGCAGTACCTGCTGCTAATCTGGACTGGACAAGTTGTTCTTTTAGTTTGGTATTATGCAGCAGGTTAGCCCATCAGCGGGAGCTCAGTGTGTGAAAGTTTAAAAGCTTGATGTTGATACGTGACAGCTTTTTCTGTAAAGTACATAAAGTTGAGTGTTACACAAGTTCAAGGTGGATTTTGACACAGAACGTGTAAATATCTGTGACTTCTTTGCTGCATTATGTTTGTACACTTGTTCCTCCTGTGAATCAGATGCGAGGCTGTTGTTATATGACCATATTTCCCTTTGACAAAAACAAGTTCATGATTATTGTTGTGCATGTTACGTAGAAATCGGAAAAAGTGTGTCTTAAGCTTTTTCCTAAATCTGTAAATAGTTGGGAGAAAAAGTTTTTAAAACCGCAGATATGTACCTTTCCCAGTCAAAAGATATGTACTGGTACTGGTATGGAGAAGCAGGTAAAGATAATGGATAGATGGACGTGTTTGATTAATTTTAGAAAGTAGATAAAAATGTTATTTTTCTACCTGTATAATGCAATTTGATGCCCTAGCACAGATGGTAGAACCAAAAACAGGTGTGGTCATCGTCATTTTCTCACAGTTTGTGTCTGAAGTTTAAAAAGATGCATCCAGGGTGAAAAATAATCAACATCTTATTTTTCTACCACAGGACCACTTTGTACGTAAGGGCCCATCAGGTATGGTACAAACACATTAAAAAAGTGTTTTTTTGTAATTGTTCAGAGTAGGTTTTAAAACATTTCTGTTAAAGTGGTATAATTTAATGTACTACTTGTATACACAGTGGAGACTGCTGCACTGCTCTTCCAAATGCTACTCAGACCCAAGAGAACAACTATTTGATTGCATTAATATTTGATTGCATTAAGTGTAGCAGGGCAAAGACAGACAGTGGTTGGTCACACTTGTTACTCCCTCTGTAACGACACCTGGCACGGTAAAACACATCAAGCTCCAGTGATAACGACCCCATTGTCTTTCTAGTCTCTTTTCTTATTACAGCTTCGGAGAAAAGCTGTAGTTTAACTAGAGATGATTGTCCTTTTTCAAGTTTTGTAATGACAAATGTTACCAGTGGCAGGTCCCATCAGCCGGCACTAGAGGCATTTTGACAGGCCGCAGTAAATCTTGTCAGACTTACAGTATCCTGAAGCTCAATAACCCAGGTAGAAAAAAAACTACTGTAAATTAGGACCTCTGGACAGATTAAAAATAAATACAAATTGTTGAAACGTTTCATGTTTAATCCAAAAGACTTCTTCAGTCTGAGGAGCTGCACTAAACTCAGTCTTATAAATAGCACCATTTCACAGTGGATCAACCAGTTTGTTGTTGATAGCCAGAACTTGCTGTTCACATGATCAAGGAGGACCACCAGCCTAACAATGGATCGTTAGTGCCCTGATGGCCACTTGCTATTCAGTTGTCAGACTTTTGTGCAGTTTGCACTCTGCCCCCCACTCCCCCAAAATAAAAGTTTTCCAACAACCAATCCTCCCTGTAGCAACAACGAGCAGAAAAAAAATGCTTTAAAAATCCAAACCAAATGGTACCACAAATAAGCAGTTATTAATAAAAGGCATTTTCCCATTTATAAAAACTGATTTGTCCTCCGAGTAAGATTCACTTGTGTAAAGGATCAAAATTAAATACACTGAAGCGCTACTTTGATTTCACAAATAATTTGAATCGAAACTGACTCTACTAATCGAAATCTGAGCTAGTAAATACCAAAAATTAAAAATTACATGTGTTTTGTCTATGACTTCTAAATGAGTAAAAACAAACAAACGGCTATTATATAACGTTGTGATGTAAACCAATAATTGAGTATCAGACATTAGGAATCCTTAAATCCTACACAAGGTTCTTCTTTTGTTACAAATACTAATTAGTACATAAAATTCCCCATTGGGTGCAACCAGCCATTACAAATACCACATAACAGTTTGTCCAATTCAACAGTGGTCCCCACATTTAAAAAGAATAAATGTCCCAAGCTGCATGAAGGAGAACCAGCTCATGGCTGTGACCATGGAGCTGCTGTTGAGCAGAAATGTTATTCATTTTTAAAGTTTCATAGGAAAAACGTTCTACTTCCTAAACTACTGCTGCTACTACAACTTTCTAGAACTGTTTATTGACCTTTGTCGATCAATTAATAAACCTGAAATAAGATTAACATCCAGTGTTTTAGTGTGGAGTTACAATAACAATATTTGTATGTTATAGATCAATTTGTTATTTCTTTATATTACACATCGACTAACCAATTACACACGTAAAACACACCAAACAGTGCAATAATCGCTAATAAATAATACAATTTTTATGTAACGTTAATGAGATTAGAAAACCTTAATATTAAATCGTAGGTATGTAATGTTTTCCTATACTGATGCAAAATTTCTGAAAAATTAACAAGATGCAAGAGTCAAAAGTATGCTGAACAAAAAGTTACTCATACAAAATACTTAGTTGCTTTTTCATGCCTGTCAGTAAAAGTTTTATTGGTTATATATTTTAATTTTCTACCTTTTTTTTTTTTGTATTGAAAATGAATTTTAAGTTAAAAAAAATTTCAAACAAAAACTTAAAAATAGATAGTATACAGACTCCTCAAGTATCCGGTGTTTACAGAATAAAATACCCCCAGGAAGATAGGTACGTTTGAAGCTCCTTAGAGCTTTGACCACTAATAAGCTTCGTTGAATGTGAAAAGATTAAAGAATATGATGTTTTTTTTATAAAAAAATATATATATTTTTTTATTTTGAAATCTATGTGTATGCGAAGTTCTTTTTTAAGGAAGTCGTGCTTTTAATTCGACAGAACACCGGATGTTCTGCTTTTTAAAATGTTATCGGATTTCCCTCCTCCCCTGGAAAAAAGCATACATATATGATACATATATGATGATAAAATAATTGTAGATAAACGTGTTCTTGCGGGGTAATGAAAAAAAAAAAAGCTTTTCATTTTTTAAATGCACGGAAAACGCCTTCCACGTTAGGGGCGCCTTATTCGGTACAACACCGGTCTTGTTCTGCCCGTAAAACTGCCTAACCGAAAAGAAAAAAAAAAATTAGTCAACGGTAAGAAAACACAGAAAATCAAATACAACGAGCTAAACAAGCCTATAGCGCGCCATGGTGTTTGTAAAACCATATTAACCGTGATATTTACTTCAATTTCTGTTGAAATAACAAATTCTGGAACATTTTAGTAACGGCGAGGAGGCGGACGCCGAGTTTTAAAAACCCTGACTCGGAGACAAAGTGTTCTGGAACTCACCCGAGCACCCCCGGCTTGTACGTCCTCGTCTTCCACGGCGTCCAAGTGTTCGGACAGTTGCCATTAGTGCAGTTTGCCGGCCAGTAATTTGCTCCATACGTGCTCGCCTTATTGTCACTTTTCCTCCGGCCCGGGTGGTGATTGTATGAGTGATTAGCGTGTACGGAGGGGGGGACCTGCTGGTGACGCTTCCCACAGTTCTGCGGTAAACTTAAAGCTGGCTGTTCCTCTAGGTGTCCATGATGACAAACGTTTACGTTATCCTCCACGCCGCCGTCCCTCGAGCACAACATCGTGCTCCCGACGTTTTTATTAAAGTTGCCCGTCACATTTCCCCCCATAGTCCTCTCGAGCGGACAGCCAGAAGAAAAACCCTCGGTATCGGATTCCTGGGAAGACGAGGGGGAGACGGAGCTCGTCTTCTTTTGGGGCAGGATCTTGTCCTCGCCCGGCGGTTCCGCGACGTTCCCCGTGGTGGAAGAGTTGCGTCCGGTCCCGCTGGACACCGCCGTGCCACCACCGCTCGGTGCAGGGATGCTGTGATGGCTGCTGCCGTTACTCCGGCTGCCCGTGACGCTACCGCTGCTGCAAGAGCTCGCCTTGCTCGAAGCAACTGCGGTCGCCACATTTTTTAAAACATCCAGTGCCGCATAGCCGACGAACTGGCTGTGGTTCTGATTGTGGAGCTGCCGAGCGGAGAGCGTCCCCGCTCCCTGAGAGGTCTCCCAGACGTGCATCCATAAGGCGTTCGCAGGTCCTTTCTGTTCGGGCTGAATCCAGGCTACCCTCGGATCCATTCAACTTCTCTCTCTGGTAACCCCCCTCCCCCCCCAACAATTACCTTTATCTTTAGCGAGCCCGTCGTGATTCCGCGCCGTTCCCTGGACCTTTCGAGGCTCGCTTACGTTATTCGGGGTTACGACGCGAGAATAAATAAAGTAAATACCGAAATAGGACCATTGATTATCTGGCCCCTCTACACCGCTAGCAGCAAGAAGGCTAGCTGATTCCTGCGGGAATTCAATATGGCGTATATTCCCTTCAAAATCTGTGCGCATGCGCACTATCAGATTTTTTTTTAAAAAACGTTTACTGCACCCCCCCTCCCCCTCCATCCATCCACCCACTCATTTCTCACTCCACAGTCGGAGACCGTGAAAAATTAACACTTGGACTTTTTTTATTCGCTAAATATACAATTTAACTGTGAGTTCAAACAACGAATATGATTCTAGAAGTAGGGCTCTTTCCGAGATGGAAACAGAAAAAAACCAGGAGACATTAAACGCACCATTTCACCTCAGATCAAAGGGAATCCCCCCCATCCCTTTGTCGTCACTCATAGGGCTCTTCCTGAGAAGAGTTTAAACTAAATTAGACAAATCACTTTAGTAACGATGCACAGTCTATTTGTATTTATTTTTCATTCAACCTTTATTTAGACAGGTAAATCCCATTGAGCCTCGAGGACTCATTTACACTCATTTATTGCCCTCCACCGAAAGGTGAAGGTGGACAAAGATGTTTTTGCCCATGTCTGTCTATTACTTTCAGGAAATAATCACTGGATGTGATCTACATGCTGATTTATTCTGGAGTCACCATAATTCAAGATGGCCACCACAGCCAGCTGATCCTGACGAACAGTCTATAACTCAAGCTGATATTGAGATAAAACTTGGCATGGTAGTAGCTTAACATACACCAAGCACAACTTATTGCACAATATTTTTGGCTTAAAATATTGTCATTACCTCTTAGTGTCAACTCTGTTCCTCTGTTAGCAAAATATCTCAACCACTGGGCAGATTTGAGTGGAACTCTTAAATCACCTAGAAGTCAACAATGGAATCGGCACAATTCAAGTCCATAACCAGTTGTTTTTACACAAACTGAGCTAAAATGTGCCGAGAGTCATCCTCAACACAGATTTTGAGTGCTATCACATCCTAAAATATCGCATCAGACTGCGCATAAGATCATTTACAAGATTTGACCAAAACGGATATAACTTTGTATTTTCTCATCATAAAGTGATTTTAGTTTACATCAAATGCAGCAGCAGATGCATCGCTTCAAAGCATGCTAATTAGCCTTAAAGCGTATTGCTTTGTTGGTAATATAGTTGTATAATGAAATCCTCTTGGTCTTCAAAAGAACTGCAGAACACCTCGGTGCAATCTAAAATGCAAGATAATTTTTACGTCCCTCGTATAGGAGCAGCTCTGTGTTTTCCAGTTTATTGTTGCAGTCATTGTGGAGCAGCAATATGCAGCAGGTGGCATCCATCACTCCAGACAGCAACTTGTAAATCTGTTGACGGAGCAGCGGCAGGCTGGATGAGGCACAGTACAATCTGGGATGAGAGTGTATATAAAAGACAGATGAGGGAGGGGATCCTTTGCATAAATGCCCACCCCGAGTCGTATGCTCATGTGCAGCATGTGACAATGCCAAGGAACACCCTCCTCAAGCAAACTGTGTCAGCTCGGATAAAAGTCAGCTGCTTACTCACACTGTATAACCTATCCCTCCTTTTAATATTCTCTTACACCACGTGAAACAAAAGGATCTGCATAACGCGCCACGATGAGAGTTATTCATAACTACAGGGCTGGTTTTCCTCGTCGTCAGCTTTATGGAATGACCACATTGGTGAACTGGACCACAGCTATCGAATGTTTTCCAGCGGGGCACTCAACAACACGCTCACGGGCACACCAGCAGATATTATAAAAGACGCGTCAGTCGTCTGAGGCTGTGGCTTGAATAGCAATGAGGCTGCAGCACGCTCCACATGTTTAAACTACATCAGAGGGAAAGTATAGATTTACACTCTCAGCAGCTGGATTTGTTTTACACTAACAAGAAGTCTCGAGTGTGCTGCTTCAGGTATGAAGTTTGAGCTAACCACGCCCAGTCACCCGGACTGGATTAGTCAATCTGCACCACCTGAACACAAACGCATTTCATACATACGTTTATCTTCAGAACCACTAGACCAGGGGTCTGCAACCTGCGGCTCTGGAGCCACACGCGGCTCTTTGGTCCCTCTGCAGCGGCGCTTTCAAGCTTTGACCAAAACTGACATAAAACTGAATTTTACTGGTTGTTGTAACCACTAAAAGGACGAGTTTTAGCAGTTTTCCTGTCATTTATTTAGCGAATATATAGAAATATTACAAGGAGTAAAACATACTCACTTTCACTTTAAGTAGGATACGTCATTTTTCTACAGTTAAAAAAAAAATCACACAAGAATACATAGTTTATTGTTTTAGTTTTTAGAAACTGGGCAAAAACTATATTATTTTGTCCTTCTTTACGAGAATCTCATCTTTTATTTTGTTTGGAGTGTAAAAACATCAATAAATGTTAAAAATCATGAGCTATTTTTAGTTTTATAAAATCACCCCTACTGGCCAGAAAAGCGCCCTCCAACAAACTTAAAGTGGTCTGTGGGCCACCAGTTGAGAATCCCAGTTGTAGCAGGTATTGTGGCTCTGGACACGTTTAATTTAGTGAACAAAGGGGCAGAAATGGCTCTTTTGATCGTAAAGGTTGCAGACCCCAGCACTAGACTGAGGAACAGCTTCTACCCTGAAGCTGTTAGACTCATGAATCCCTAACCAGAAAAATCACTGTAATGCCACTTTAATTGGTGATATTCAGTGGTGGGATGTAACAAAGTACAAGTACTTCGTTACTGTACTTAAGTACATTTTTCATGCATCTGTACTTTACTTGAGAAGAGTTAAACATGGGTACTTTAAACTTTGACTCCACTACATTTTACATCAAGTATCTGTACTTTCTACTACACTACATTTCTATAACTCGTTGCATTACAAGTTACATTCATGTTGCGTTTTTTTATTTTGTTTGTTATTTTGAAAGTAACCAGTGGTGAGAGAGGAGCTGGTGCATTGAATCACTGCAAAGTGGGCAGGTAACGTTAGACCCGCCTTCAAGAAGAACTGGGCCAATGATGTATATTCTAGTATACTGGTATACGTCATTGAGCTGGGCGCACCCTCAGCACCACTAACACACCCAAACTGGATTCCACCATGGAGAGTCAGCCAGAAGATACGCACCACCCATGGCCTTATTGAAAGACTATTGAAAGATCATTGAAAGACTGTTCAGTACAGCAGGACAGATTCTCTCTCCCAAAAGATCCAGACTGGACTTAGAAATCTTTGAAAACAACTTCTTCTGAACTTGAACAAGAAATTCTTGCTGCAATATTAAAATGTGTCAGTTCTTGATGTTAGGAGACAAGAGATGTCTCCAAATGACTCGACGCTCAGGTCCAAGTTTTGAAAATGGTGTCAGGAAGTTAAAATATTGTTCACTATTGACCCATTACAAGGTTGAATAGACATATTTTAACTAGAGTTGATGACAAACTGGAGTGGAAATGATCAGAGTCTGTTCCTTTGTTAGTTTTGTCTAATGCTTCTTTTTTCAGGCAGACAACTTTTACTTAAACATTTTTACTGCAGTTAAAATGACACAT